CAAACATGCTTACAGAAGGCACTGAGAGGAGCAAGGAGGACATAACAAGCCCCGCCAATGTGGCTCAGGGATTGCATGTTGACCTATGAACCAGGAGGTCAAGGTTCAATTCCTGGTCAAGGACACATGCCCAGGTTGTGGGCTCAATCCCCAATAGGGAGCATGCAGGAGGCAGCTGATCAATGGTGTTCTCTCATCATTGATGTTTCTATCTCTTTCTCTCCCTTTCCCTTCCTCTCTGAAATCAATAAATATATATACATATATATATTTTTTAAAAGAGAAAGTCTGGAAGTGGAAACAGCTAATTAGTAACCCAGACAGGCCCTGTCTGCGGACAGAGCAGGACCTCAGCTCGGTGACTCCAAACAGATGCACCCAGAGTCGCCATGGCAATGAGGCCCGGGGCGCCTCCAGGGCTCTCGCCCTCGTGCTCACTCCACCTCTGAGCACCCAGCAGGCAGCAGCCACCTGCACACGGGGTAGGAGAACCACAGGTTCTCCCGAAATAAAGCAGGGGCTGATCCCTCTGAGGGATGAGGCAGCCTGCCGCTTACCAGACTGTGTGACAAGGAGAGCCACTGTCACGTGCCTTGGGCTCACATGTCGAAGAAAAAGCCCCCAGCGTTCCCAGTCTGCTAGGTCAGCAGGAAGAAACGCAGAAAACAGACTTGGCAGCATCCCGAAGGTATTAAATATTCATCCTGACCGCCCATCAGTGAAATCCCAGCAGAATGCGCCCTGACAAGTGGGCCTTCCAGACCGGAGGCTGTGCTCCGGGAGGCCTGGTTATTGCCGTGTCGATTTTAATGTGCAGTAATAATAGCCAGACTCAGGCACCGTCGTAAACATTTGGAAAATGAATGCTGACATTTCCCTTATTGCTTCTGTATTTAGGGATGTACAATCAGGGGGGTGGGGGGAGGAGGCTGATGCTAAAGAAATGCAGAAGGAAGCAAAGCAATGCTTCAGAATTAAAAGAGAACAGAATTGACTAAGAGCTAAGAATCGAATATGTTGAACCGGCTTCAAGTCCTGCCTTTAAATGCCCCGTGGGGGTCACGCTCTGCTGTCCATGGGAGTGAGGCTGAGCAAAACCCACAACGGACCAGGAGTGTGGCATTCCTGGAAGATTTCCTGGGCGGTGTGCATTTCGGATCAGAAGCACGTGTGCAGAACGGTGAATAACAGACCCACAACGAATGGACGGGGGTGCCATCCAGCCAGACATTGTGGTGAATCAGGTCCCTGAGATGTGACCAGCTCAGCAGGTGGCTCTGGCCAGGGCTAGCCTGGGCACAGACCACAGGGAGCCTTCGTGGGAGCGGATAATGTCGGCAATAGAAGGTGGTTAAATGGACCAGTGAGCTAACAGTCCCTTGGTTTCTATTTGATTCTTTTGGAATGAGAATATGCAGCCAAATATTCTGAAAAGAGAGGGGTGGGCAGGCAGCGGGGGACCTTCCTATGGAAGACACTGGACTAGGGATAAGGATCCATGTTTTGAGGGGGGGAGAGCAGAACGAAGAGACGCCAGGATGGGCTTTGGGCTGCCCAGGACTTAGAGCTGTCCTGTGGGAGAAATCAGAAGAAGCAGAGGAGATGGAGGAGATGGAGGAGGCACAAATTAAACTCCTACACCGACACCATTGGCAAGCTGTGCCTCAAGGAACCTCTAGGGGTACCCTGTGACCCCAACTTTAAAAGACAAATTTAAATGTTTGTGAAAGAAGATTAAAAAAAAAATCAGGGTGGTAAACCAGACAGAATAGAAACTGAAGAAAAGTACATGGTACCCAAGAAGGTTCCTGAGAAGACTAAAAAAAACCTGGCTAGAAAATACCACAATCCTCTGTTACAGGACGCAGAGGAATAAGTTCTGATGAGGGAAGCGGGACCACAGCCTTAAAAAAGGTCAAAGTCCTCTTTTATCACCAATTGCTTCTTACTCAGGCACACGTGCGTTCCAGTTTCACCTTCCCACTATTTACTGGACGTCAGCTAGCCTCCCTGAGCCTGTTACTCCCTTTATACATGAGAAAGCAACAGCCCGGGCTGGTGTGGCTCAGTGGTTGAGTGTTGACCTATGAACCAGGAGGTCACAGTTCGATTCCTTGTCAGGGCGCAGGCCCGGGTTGCAGGCTTGACCCCCAGTGCAGGGCATGCAGGAGGCAGCTGATCAATGATTCTCTCCCCTGTCCCCATTCCTCTCTGAAATCAAGAAAAAAATATATATATTAAAAAATAAATAAATGGAAAATCAGCGCCTTCCTCCCGGGGTGCAGTGAAGATGAAGGGAGGTTATAGACACCACGTGTCCAACACGGTCTTGGGTGCGGTCAGCCTCTGGTACTTTTCCATTCCTGTGTCCCCCCCCACATAAAAGCTCCAGGACCAAGCAGAGTGTAGGGGGAGAGGAGGGAGAGAGCAAACACAAACACGAGGCTCCCTGGAACATAGTAAGTGCTAAATGCATCAATATTTCATAAAGGGGAGGCAGTAACACTTAAGGGAGGTGCTCTCCTGGTGCCTCAGCCACTCCGGGGAGTGTGCGGACCAGGCGCCAACCCGCTGCTCCCTGCAGCCTCCCCAGGGCCCCGAGAGGCATGACTGGGCACCTCTGGGCACAGGCCTCACCACACACAGCCCAGCACGGTGACACTGCACCCTTTACAGCGAGAACACCAACGACTCAACCAAGCCACACCCGACACAGTCCTCGGAGCAGATCTGCCGCCTCCAGCCGCTTCCTCTATCAGGAGGCACTGAAGCGGGACCATGGAAAGTGGAGGTATCTGGGCACCGAGACCCGGGATCCCAGCTCAGATCCAGTGCCAGGCTCCCACGTACCAGGCTGGCCTGCCTCCCTCGAGGCCCCTCACACCTGGCGCCTCGGTTTCCTCATGGAGACACCATCGTGGAGAAGCAAATATCTCCACCTTTCACTGGTGGGTGGAATGAAAAAAAACAGAAGGCCTGAGCTCACAGCCTGGCGCCCACTGTTGGCCCTTATCTCCTTTAGTAACTCTGTCAATTGATCAGAATCGGAACAACGTGAACTTTCGATAAGTTAATTCTTTTTTTTTTTTTTAATATATATTTTATTGATTTTTTTACAGAGAGGAAGGGAGAGAGAGATAGAGAGCTAGAAACATCGATGAGAGAGAAACATCGGCCAGCTGCCTCCTGCACACTCTCTACTGGGGATGTGCCCGCAACCAACGTACATGGCCCTGACCGGAATCGAACCCGGGACCTTTCAGTCCGCAGACCAACGCTCTACCACTGAGCCAAACCGGTTTCGCCTCGATAAGTTAATTCTTTATTCTTCCCTCATGAGCTCCAGCCTCAGATTTCCAGGAGCAACAGAAAGAAGATGATATTAGGGATTTATGCAAAAAGGCAGCGTTAGGCAAAGTCTTGGGGCCCCCATGTCCCCTCCCTGCAGCTCCCATGCCCGCCCGGGGGCCAGGAGACCACACGAGAGGCAATTACTGTCTCCAAGTCACTCAGGAAGGCAGGCGAGCGCGTCCCTGAGCACTTCCCACACGAGGGCTCACAGGAAATGGGTCTCTGCTTCGCCCTCCATTAACCTGAAAACCCACTTAAGCACAACAGCCTCTTCCCCCCGAGCATGTCGTCGTCCAGGGCTCGGCTCTAATTGGCCAAGGACTGGCCCCTTTGTTTATGCGACTCATTTGTTCCAAGCTCGGGGACACGAAAGACTCTTTATGGGTTAGGAGAGGTGAAGGGTAAACTCAGACACTGCCCTCTGTAACCCCGCATCGCTGAAAACAACACCGTGACCGTCTGAAGCGGCCCGGCAGACCGGGCTGGACACGGACCGTGGCCGGGAGCGGAAAGAAAAAATCCTTTTTGCAAGATGTTCAAACCGTCTTCGCAAAGTGGGAGGGTCAGAAAGCCAGAAAAAAAAGTCTTTGCAACGTCGCCCGCCATCCACCCCCACGGGGGGCCGCCTGGGCGGGTGCCCGCGCTCACCCGTTCAGGGCCCGGCTCAGAGGGAAGCGGGACCACGGTCTGGGCTCCTCCCTCACCCAGCTTCCAACCCAGCGGCAGCCCAGACAGAGGCCGAGGAAACCGTGGGAGAGGCACGCACTTCCCCCACCCCCGTGTGAGGGGATGGGCCGGATGAAGGTGAGAGCATTCACAGGACCCGCCCCCTGACTAGGCATCCTCGGCACCTACTGGGAGATTCAGCCCCATGGAAGAACGGAGCTCAAACTCAGCACAAGCAGACTGGCCTGGGTTCAGGACACCAGCAGCAGAAGGGCAGCCCCGGGTACAAATCCTGGCTCCACCCCCTCCCTCCCCCCACACTGGCTAGGCGGCCCTGTGCTGGGCAACCTTTCCCCGGGCGGCCGGGAAATCTGGTAAAATAACCAGCCTCAGCGCCCAGCGCAGAGCAGATGCTCAGGAAGGCCCCCTTCCCTCCCCGCTCGGGGTCCCCGGTCTGCAAACAGGGGGCCATGTACTGTGTTCACACCGCTGTGGCAAGGTTACGGGAGATGACACTGAGACAGGGCTTCTAGCAAAACAGCCTGGACCCTTTCACAGACGCCAGTGTCTCAGCCCACGGGTGTCCGGCCGGGGCACCGCTCCAGAGTGAAGGGACGTAAAGGGACGTGACAACTAAAAGCGCTGTGTGGTCCCCGACTGGACCTGGTTAGGAGCCGGGAAAAGGTCAGTGACGTCCTGTCATCACGTGTCCTTGTTCTTGGAGGTGCATGCTCAAGTATTGAGGAGGAAGTGCTCTGATGACACCAACTTACCCTCCAGTGGTTCAACAACAAAATACCCACTGAGGGAGGAAACACATACGGTTAAGACGTTAACATCGGGCCAAGAAAGGGAGATTCATTCTTTCACCTTCCCATGGGTTTGAAATTTCTCGACATCACAGGTCGGGAAGTGAAAGCGGCCACACGGAGGGCCTCTGTCCCCTCCTGCGTCTCACCCGGGGCGAGCGCGGGGAGCCCTACCTGGCTGCAGCACCCTGATCTCCAGCAGGTTGGAGGTCCGCTCGGCCAGCCGCGTCCAGGAGTTGTTGTAGTTCTGCCGCCACAGCTCCGCCACGCACTGGTACTTGCCCGCCTCCGTGTCGCTGGCTCGGCTGATGCTCAGGCGGACGTTGTTGCTGGACTCCACCTTCTCGATGGCCGTGCGGGTGCGGAAGCTGGAGGACCTGTCCCCCCACTGCACCCCTCCGTCCCGGGTGAAGGTCACCAGGTCGTGGAACTCAACGGTGCCCACCGGCTGGAACCGCCAGGTCACCGACACAGGGACGCGGGCCCGGTAGTGGGGTTTGATGATGCACTGCAGGTCGAAGGAGTCGCTGTAGGTGACCCCCGGCGTGCGGGAGATGGCGGTGACCGCGAAGCCCGTTTCTGGAGAGGAAACAGACAGGCGCGAGCCAGGGTCACGGGTTGTCTCAGGAGGGATGACGTGGCGACAGGGGTCTTGGCAAAAGCTCTGTGGCATTGAGCAAGTTACTTAACTCCTCTCTGCCTCTACTTCCCTATCTGTAAAATGGGTCCATGCAGAGATTAACATGTGTCTGGTGGTTCCCACGGGGCAGAGCAAAGGCGCTCGGGTCTGCTCTGATGTCCAGGCCAGGATCCCGTTAGCTATCACATGGAGGCACAGGCCCACAGTTCATAAGACCACAGAGAGAAAGAGATCGGGCAGCCGCCTTGAGCAGCCTTACCGATCCCTGCTGACCTTGCAATGGCCTCCCCATGGCCGTTTGGGCTCAGAACCGGAAGAACCTACATGGATCCATCGCCCCCATTCCTAAAAATCCTGGGATTCCATGCTAACGCAGGAGACAAAAGCCCCACAGCTATTTCCTTCATCACCTGCCTCGTGGCCACATCGCCCCATGCAAATTCGTGTGCTGTCATTTAGTTTAGGCTGAACAGGTGACCTTACTCCAGGGAGCCTTCCTGTTTTCCCTGTGCCCACCCTTGGGCCACTCTGATTATGGCTTTGGGCAGAAGCACCCCAGGTGTGGCGAGCAGGCGAGCAGAGCCAGGCTCCAGGGGTCCCAGGTCAGAGCCTCTTGGAGACCCCTGGCTGTGGGAACCACCAGACACATGTTAATCTTTGCACGGACCCATTTTACAGATAGGGAAGTAGAGGCAGCGAGGAGTTAAGTAACTTGCTCAAGGCCACATAGCTAGGAAGCGTTAGAATCGGGGACAACCTGGAACCGTAAAATGACTTCCAGAGGAACAATCCCGATAAACCAGCCCTACTCCTTGGTATTCCTAAGCTCACAGGACAGGAAAAGCTACCGTTGTTGAGTGCCCAGAGCTTTCCTCACGGGTTCTGTGTCCACAGGTGCCCACGGCGATGAGCGTAGGCACAGGACTAGCTCATCAGAAAACGCAACCTCTGGATGAAATGGAATGGAAGCTGTGTGGGGAAACAGGTCGATCTCTGAGATTAAACTTTCAGAGAGTCAACGGCATTCTAACCTGGGGATCAGAATGGGGGTGGCATGGGAATGGAGGACTCTGTGGGGAGCAGCCCCGCTCAGGCTGCGTCTTTACCACAGTGATGCAGGAGCACCAGCAGCCCCGCCCGGAGGACAGGGGGGACAGCAGGGCCTCAGGGAGTGGGGCCAAGTCTCCAGGACAAGTGTCCCCAGGGTCTCCTGGTAACAGCAGACCCAAACGGGACAAGCTACCTTCCCAGCAAAGCAGCAGACGCCCGCCCTTTACAATGAATGCACCACACGGATTGCATTAGGCAGACGCGTGTTCACATATGAGGCAGATGCGTGTTGACGGAAGCCTCTTTAAGGGCCCCATAAGGAGTCCCTCTAATCTTCTCTGGTTTTAGCAAACCTCAAGGTATCTTTTAATTTCATGCTAATGAGGACATCGCTTTCTTAAGGAGGGGCCTCGGAGAGAATACCAAAGCACAGGCTTTGGAAAAAAATGGAGAGAGATGGCTGGTTTGCTAGGTTCAGGTAGTTGGGGCTGGCGTTGAAAAGCTACAGCCCTGAGCAAATCAGTTACAGTCTCACTCCGTCTCCCTGTACAATGGAAGTGTCTGCCTCCCGGCCAGGGGCTCAGACTCAGCCTGGAGCACAGCACGGCCAGAAAGAGACCTTGCCATCCTGTCTGTCCACTCAGGGAATCAAGCTGGTTCCCTGCCCGTGTCTGCCCTGCTCTGAGCCTCTCAGGAGGGCTGGGCACTGGGCAGCAGCAAGGTGATGGGGCGGTGGGGGGGGGGGGGGGAGCCGGAGGGCAGAAGAGCAGCTTCCTGGCTGTGCGCCTGCTCTTCAGCCAGTGCTGAAGGTGGCATGTCCTCTCCCCGGGCCGCCACGTCCTGCTGAGTGGCCTCGGTCCTCTGGCCAGCATTCTTACAGCTTCACTCCCGCTACCCACACCCAGGAGTGGTTACAGTCACCGGCCCCAGGGCCCCCGCCATGCATCGCTGGCACCTTCAGCCCTGCCCACGCTTCCGTAGCGCGTTCCTTCCATTAAACCCTTTGGGGGTGCCCTCTGCCCTGGCAGGACAGACCAATACGGGTCAGGGGAGGGTTCCTGACCCGGGGGCAGTCCCCCCAGCGCCCCTGCAGAAAGCCTCCCGGACATTCACTTACCGAGAGCCGTGATGGCGACGGGGGTGCTGGCCCAGCGCTCTCCCACGACCTGCCACTCGCCGTCCACGGCCCGCACCCACTCAGTCACGTGGCACTCGTACTGGCCCTCGTCCTCCTTCCTGCTGTGGAAGATGGCCAGGCTGAAGGAGCTGGGCTGCACCTGCTCCATCTGCACGCCCCCGAAGCTGCTGCGCTCCCAGTAGGACGCGCCGGGCTGCACGGTGCCGTCCCGGTCCAGCCACATGATGTTGCTGCGGCGGTTGAGCCTGTCCACGAGCTGCCAGACGACGGAGAAGCGGCCCTGGGGCCTGCCCGCCGTGCGGACGCTGCAGGAGAAGCGCAGGTGCTCGCCCTCGAGGACCACGCTGGCGTTGCCGGCCACCTCCACGGAGAAGCTGCTCTCTGGGGACAGGGGGAGAGCGCAGCTGGGGGTCGGGTCTCCGCCGCGCCCTCCCCGTAGAGGAGAAAGGAGGGTGGGTGCAGCGTCACCCCCTCCGCAGGCTGAGAGCCCTGACCCCCTGGCTGGGGTGGCCCTGGCTGGTTCTGGGCAATGCTCCTGAGATTTGGGCCTGATCACCGAGGAGGCCCTGAGCCGTGTGCAGAGGAACAGGGTAAGGAGGGTCTCTAAGACCTAAGGGCTGGATCAGAACCTAAGAAATATAACCACCTGGCCGGTGTGGCTCAGTGGTTGAGTGTCAAACCAGGAACCAAGAAGTTGTTGGTTTGATTCCCGGCCAGGACACATGCGTGGGTTGTGGGCTCGATCCCCAGTAGGGGTGTCTGCAGGAGGCAGCCAACTCATCAATGTTTCTCTTTTTCTACCCCTCTTTCTTATCCTCTCTCTCTAAAAATCAATTAAAAAGATACAACCAATGCCATTATGCGTAGGGCATAAAGCAATGCAACGGGTTATTTGTTCAGCTGGGGTTCAAGGCTTTTCAATTTGGATTTCTATTAGGTTGAATTCCTTGAAAATTCTACTCCCACCCCTTGGTGCTGTGGCAGTCAAATCGAGGGTGACATTCGTAACGTGCCATCTGAGTCCTTTGGGACCATATTAGGGAGTAAAAAAAAAAAAATGACAGGAAGTATCTAGAGTGACGTGTGCGTGGCTGCAGGTACTCCTGGGCACAGATGGTCTAGTCTCACAGAGTGTGCGGGGAGCGAGCTTCCATACTTGCATTAACACCGAGGAGGAGACCTAAGCCACAGGCTCGCCGTCCTGTCTGTCCACACTCAGCCCTGGGGTTTCACCGCTTCTCGCTGTGAAACATTCTGCCAATCAAAGTGTGGGAAAAGGCCCGGACAGTGTGGCTCAGTGGTTAAGCATCGACCTATGAACCAGGAAGGTCACAATTCGATTCCCGATCAGGACATAAGCCTGGGTTGGGGGGCTGATCCCCAGTAAGGTTGTGCAGGAGGCCACTGATCAATGAATCTCTCTCATCGTTGATGTTTCTCTCTCCTTCCCTCTCCCTTCCTCTAAAAACAATAAAAACATATTTTTAGAAAAGTTTGGGATAGGGAGTCCACTCCCTTCACTGCTTTGCTATATGAACTCAACCGAACTATTTAAATTCAACTAGACAGGGAGAGTGTTATTTATCTCGTACAGTTTTTTAAAGGTTAAAAAGTAAATGAGACCATGTATATAAATCGCCTAAAACATACTAAGTTTTCAAAAACTGGTCTCTGTGATCAGGGTTGATTTTACTATCCCCAATAACTCTTTGTTTTTGTTTTTTGTAAACATCATGGATATTCTAATCTATCTGAATCATGAGTATATTATTTTGTACAGTTACCTATATTGACTTCAAAAAGACATAATAGTAAGTGTAAAAGAACACAAAATACCGTAACTAATTTGGTTCCAATTTTCTGGGCACTGCCCACGTGAAACAGACACAGCCATTTTAAATCAACCGATGCAATCAAATCCCCGATTGAGAGGCACACCCAGTCACCGAGGGGACACCCCCGTACCCAGGACCATGCATCTGAATCAGGCCTTTCCCCCTGGATTCCCCCACAGGCAGAAAGAGGCGAAGGTGAGCACAGAACCCCTGCGTGTACTCTGGTTAAGGTGAGTGTACCTGCTTCTCAGTCTGGGTCGGCTTGTTTTACATGAAAAATAAATAAAAGGAAAACAGGTCTGCATAAGGGGAACAGGAATGCTCCCGGGAGGGCAACCTACCCGAGAGATTCGGGGCGATGGTAAGCCTCCTATGAGCCCGCATCCACAGCACTGGTGGCTAAAAGCAAGGGTTTGGAGGCGGGACGCCTGGGCCTCATTCTGCAATCTTGGGTCCTTACCTAACCCCACCCAAGCTTTGAAATCTCAAGTTCATAAGAGATACTATCAGTTCCTACTTCTCAGGGTCATGACACTGAGAGTGTTGGATGAGGTGGCTGTTTTTCATCTCGTCATTAATAGCAACAAGATTCCTCTTCGGATTAAAGACTCATCCCCAGGGTTATCCATTCCGAGTGAGGGCAACGTCAGCATCCCGGGGGGGGAAATCCCTTTGCGGGCCTTCATCAGAAGAACGGCTTGCGGGGTGTCACCCTCACCTCCTACTGTCACCCCCATGGACTCTCACGGAAGCCTGGCTTGTATTGTGAGGGCTGCTAGGGGCGCGTTGTCATTCTAGCAAGCCTGGAAGACCGCACACTTAGCACGCGGGGCTGTGAAAACACACCACCCGGCAGCCCAGGCAAAGGCAAATGCAGACGCTGCCCGAGAGACTATTCACCCGTGTTCTTCTTGGGCCCGAGAAAAGGCAGCCGACGATTAAAACACTATGGACCGAATGCCGGCCTGGACAGGATTAATGAGAACCTGAGGGCATGTTGTCAAATGAACTTTCAAACCAGGAGGTCGGAGGTGTAGCACAGGCTAAGCGCAGAGCAGTGGACATGGGGTTAGGAGCAGAGAGTTCTGCAGCGCAAGCTCAACCTCGGACGGAACCGGCTCAGCCACGGCTCTGGCTGGTGCTCCGGCTTCTTCCTTCATATAATAGAACGGACACAATATGGGCCTCTACGGGGACTTGAACATGGGGAAGATGACAGATGCAGAAGCACGTTGAGGCTCTTGGGAGGAAAAGCGCCATTAGAGTCCAAGGTATTACCATCATTACCGACGTGATCGTTTGCTTTGGTAGACTTACCCAAGTGGCCTTGGGGCAGGATCTGGTGGTTCTGGGGGACTTTAACTACCCAGTCATCTGCTGGAAAAGCAATACAGCAGGCCACAGATCATCAAACACGTTCTCGGAAGGGGTGGGGGGAAATCTCTTAGCACAAAAGATAGAGGAAGCACACAGCGTGGCTGCCCTTCACTGGATCCTTACGACACAACAAGGAATTAGTTGCAGATTTAAAAGCAGAGAGTCCGTGCACGGTTAAGGCAGACACTGACCGACAGGAAAAGAGGAGAGAGAGAGAGAGTGGGCATTCGATTCCACAGTCTCAATCCTACAGATACTCCGCAAGCACCTACCCTATGCAAAGCACCATGCTAGGCATTGCGGGGGTGAGCTGGGGAAGTCTAGTAACAAAAGAATTTCAAGGTAATTAGGTGTGCACACATTTTTTTTTTTTTAAATAGGCATGAAAAGAGAGTAATCCTGTTGGTGAGAAAAGGAGAAAGAGTGGGAAGACGCTTGTGCGGTCTTTTTCCTTCAGACTCGAAGAGAGCTATATTAAAAACGTAGTAAGAATGAAAAGGAAGCTGGGTAAGGTAAGAGGAAGAACAGTCTGAACAGCTGGGAAAGGGTTAACGGTTAGTTTTAAAAATGTCCCCATCTTGTTTAGACTCAGAGCATTCTAAGTTTTTTCATTCTCTTTTTACTAAAAATAGACCCACGAGAGAAATGAGGTATTAATGAGGACATCCTGAGACTATGGATGACTGAACATAGGCACACACAGGTAGGCAGCCGCGACGGTGACCCACCCAGACAGGGCCAGCGCCCGGGGGAGGGGGGTGGGGCAGGGAGCCCGCCTGAGCGGCCTTGGACGTCAGCTTTAAAAGTCCGCGCCCGGGAAGAAGTGAGAGGTCCCAGCCATTGACTTTCAAAAACCACAGTTTCCACAGGGAAGGGAAAATGAGGGACATGCCAATCCCTCCACCCCAAGACCCAGAGGGCAAGTCCTTCTTCACAAGGAGCTTTCTGATTTGAAATCCTCCCTCGGAAGGAAGATGTCAGGCAGGCATCTCCCCACTTTCCTGGGACCTGATTCCCACTGGGAGCACACAGCTGTCCTGAATTCCTGGTGTCCCTCCCAGCTGAGCTGCTCTCCTGGGGTCTGCGATGTCCCCTCCAGGTGCCAACACAGCCCTGAGCTCGCCTACCTGGGGGGTTGCCAAGTGAGCAGGGGACTAGAGAAGGGGAGCAGTTAACTGGCCTTCCCTGTCAGCTTGAACCCTAGAGTCCCACCCGTCCCTCCTCCCCTCCCATCTCCCCTCCAGCACTGTCCTCACCCCTAACCTCTCAGTGATGCAGCTATTGGACCAGACCGGCGGGAGGAGGGGGAGGACGCAGGCGCCTCTCCACTTACTGATGGGGAGGACGATGATGGGGATGTTCTTGGGGCGCTTGCTGTCCTTGTCGATGAACTCCCCGGTGACGGTCTTCTCGCGCTCGGTCACGCGGCAGTTGTACTTGCCGCTGTCGTCCTGGCGGAGGTGGAAGATCTTCAGCACAAAGACGCCGTCGCCCTCCTTGGCCACCTTGAGCTGCCCCCTCGCCTCCCGGTGGGCGAACTCGCTGTTGAGGACGGGCACGGCGTTCGGGCCCATGCTGGCGATGAGCGAGCTGTTGAAGGCCCAGGAGACGGCGAAGTAGCGGTCGGGGATGTTCTGCGCCTCCAGGATGCAGCGGAACTCGGCCGGCTCGCCCGTGGTGTACAGGCGCTTCTCCGTCTCCAGCCGCACCGTGAACTCCTTGTCTGAGGAAGCAACCGCACACAGCGTGTCCGGGTGAGTTCGGGCCGGGCCACCGGGACGCGTGGCACAGTCCCGCCACCAGGCCCTCCTCCAGGGCTCCCCCCAGGGAAGGCACCGCCGCACCCAGGGGACGAGACTCAACGTAGCCAGACCCAGAGGTCTGAGGCCTGTTATCGCAGTCGAGACCACTGGGCTCTGTCTACAGCTTATACCGCCCTGGATTCAGCACCCAAAAGTCAGGAAGGAATTCCGAATGGTCACCGCCCTGGCAGAGCGCCGAGGGGTAGCCTTGACTCCTAGCCAGGACTCCACTAGCCACACGACTACAGATACTTTCAGCAGATGTACTGGGACCCACTGGGGTTTGTGAGACAGTCATACAGTGGCCGCGATGCTGAATCCCCAGCCCCAATAAACTCAAATATGAGTAATCTGAAATAGTCTTCACCCCCACGTGAATACTGGAAATAAGACACAAAACTGCGCAGGAAAAAAATGAAAACGAATGGCTTTTTCACTAGTCACCACCTGTCAAATCTTTAGGAAGGTGTCGCCAAAAGTACCTATTTACACCAAAAGCTGAAACACCTCTGAAATGGCCAACAAACCCAAGCCCCCTTTGAAGAGCCGGGCGTCTGATCCGGCATGGGGGTCACGTGATCAAAGAAGAGCTCATTCCAGCACTGGCGTGTACTGGTGTGTGGTGACTGTCACTTCCATGGGACAGTTCTCCTGTCTCACAGGCACCTGTGGCCGGCGTGGGGTAAGACAAAGGAGTCAAATGCTGGAGAAAACACTCTGTTCTAGAAAACAGGACCAAAGAGCCTGGGGTAGGGGAGGCTGTCCTCCAGCATGTGGGGCTGCGGGCTACTTTCCCTTTCCTGTCGTCACATTCGGCTCTTTGGCCCCTTGAGTGTGGCTCTTCCACAAAATACCACGGCCTGGGGGAGCCTATTTTGAAAAAGTGCCGTTAGAAGAAGTCTAGATTAAAAAATGTGGCTCTCAAAAGAAATTTTCATCGTCGTCCTGTTGATATTTGGCTCTGTGGACTAATGAGTTTGCCGACCCCTGGTGCAGACACACTTCACATTCACTGCGTCCCCGGAGCATTCTCTGCCCGATCCCGGCACTTAGCAGCCTGCTCTCGGCTGCTGGCTTTCACACTGGCCGGCTCCCTGCACGCAGGGGCCCAGTGGGAATCATCTTCGAATGCCCGGCGCTACCACCACCCCTTCAGTGCTGCAGGGACTCACTGGGGGCTTACTGAAATGAACTACAAGAAGGCCACGCTGGGGCGGCAACCACTGAGCCTGAGCAGCACAGGGGCTCAGGGAGAAGCCATCAACATTCATGTCATTGAGTTTTTGCTGGTCTGGTGTAGTCTGGAGATATGTGCTGGGCAAATTAAAAAAGAAAAAAAAAAAAAAAACTCCTAATTCCAAACTGGTAAGATTAAAAATAAAGTAGATTAGCTGGTGCAACCCAATTTAAAAGCATTATTTAAAGGACTCCAAATTTGGTCCAGACTTTTGAGGCCGATATTAAAACCATCCAGGAAGGAAAAGATGAACAGGAAATAAGGCACCGTCTGGAGATTGCTTGGTACTGGAAGATCCAGAAGCTGCAAATGTTCTGGGTCCTACAGACAAGGTGCCACCTCTACAGGAGCCCAACCCTTCTCCTAAAAGCCCTCACATCCATCCGCTGCCAGAGAATCCCTCTGCCCTATAACCTCTAGCTCTAGCGCTGTGCTTGACAAAACAGACCATGGAGTCCTCAGATGTTTGGCTCAGAGGATAGTGTCAGACTGAAAGGTCAGGGGTTTGACTCTGGTCAAGGGCACTGGCGCGTGTGGGAGGTAACCAATTGGTGTGTGTCTCATATCAACATTTCTCTCTTTCTCTCTGTGTCTTTCCACCTTCCTTCCACCCTCTCTCTGAAAATTAATGGGAAAATACCCTCAAGTGAGGATTAAAAAAATACAAACTGTAGGAAGCAGGCCATGGAAAAATCACTTGGGAAGGATGCTGGAAACCCAGCTCCCAGGCCCACCCGGAGCCTGGCTCAGGAATCTGCACTGTCAGGTGGGTCGGAAGCCCTGCTCTAGAATGACAGATTACGGAAAGACCAAGAGCACTGACCACAGCAAATGGGACAGGGAGGTCAGGAAGCAGGTGTTGACAAGAGAACCCCACATGCACCTCAGACTCCACAGTCCCCATCGCCACTCCCCGGGACAGCTATAGCCTCAACCCCCGGGGTCAGCAAAACAAGGAAAGGCTCCTGGACCATCACCACACCTCCTTACCCACACAGTGACTGCCCTCAACCAAAGCCGGGGGCCGAAGGCCCACGGAGAGCCTGCCCCAGCACAGCCTAGGCAGCAGCAACAGTGCCCAGCTCTGATCTGTAGCAGGCTGGATGCGGAGGTCAGACATGGGGTCAGGGGCCAGGGGTGCACTCTGACCCTGTGGGAAGATAACGTGAGGAGCAGGAGGGTCTCATGGAGCTGCCATCACCTTGGCCCAGCTCTAACCTTGTCACTAAGCCTCCTCCAGCAATCCCCTTCCAAGGTCTTCCCCTGGAGACAGCATTTATGGAGAACCCAGTGCCCCAGGACGGCCTCAACGACACACCAGGTCTCCTCCTAGGGCCCCGCCAGCAAGCCACCCATCTTCCCTACTTACCTCCCAGACTGTGGAAGAATGGGACAAATCATCAAATGCCACCAAAGAAATAATAGAAAAAATAACCACATTGCCCGGCTGTCTGCCTATGAAACAGGAGGTCACGGTTCCATTCCTGGTCAGGCTACACGCCCAAATTGCAGGCTCCATTCCCAGTAGAAGGCATGCAAGAAGCAGCCAGTCAATGACTCTCTCTTATCATTGATATGTCTCTCTCTCTCTCTCTCCCTCTTCCTTCCCCTCTCTGAAATCAATAAATATATCCTCTATAATAAAAGGCTAATATGCAAATAGACCAAATGGCAGAAGGAACTGTCGCTATGACTTGCACTGACCAACAGGGGGCAGACACTCAATGCAGGAGCTGGCCCCTGGTGGTCAGTGCGCTGCCACAGGAAGAGCACTGCAAAGCCAGAAGCTCTGAGCTGGGCTCACGTCTGGTAAGTGCAGTGGGAAGTGGCAGGAGCCTCTTCTGCCTCCGCAGCAGCACTAAGGATGTACGACTGACAGCGTAGGCCCGCTCCCCCATCGTGGCCTAAGCTGTCAGTTGGATATCCCCCGAGGGCACCCAGACTGTGAGAGGGCTGAGGGACCGCCCCTGCGTTCACGAATTTTATGCATCAGGCCTCTAGTATTATATATAAATAACCACTTATGCCAAAATTTCTCTAGCTTGGGATTTCGTACCTACGATGGAAGGCTCCCAATCTCAAATGGCTTCTAGAAAGAAACAGGAATGGTACCCGAAGCAGGCAAGGCCACCAAAGGGGGAAGGTGTGTGGCTAATGGAACCCAGTCCTGGGCCCCATGCATCCCTCAGCTTCCTCTGGTCCCCAGGTGGAACCATCCCTAACTTCCCACAAAAACCTCGTGCACTTCCCCGTGTCACTGAAGAAGGGGTCCGTGCACCCTCCCCATGTCTGACAGCCCTCCCCACCGGGCGCACGGGGACGAGAGAGACTGACCTGTGGGCTGGACGGTGACCACGGTGCCCTGGGAGCGCTTCCGGGTCATGGCGTACCACGAGCCGTCGGGATCCTGGATCCACTCGGCGGCCTCGCAGTAGAACTCGCCCTGGTCGGACGGCTGCAGGTGGAAGACGGTGAGGCGGAAGGTGCTGCTCCCCAGCTTGTCCAGCCGCACCTCCCCCAGGCTCTGCCGCTGGGCGTACTCGCTGCTGGAGTGGAGCACGAAGTCTCGGCTCAGGGCAATGACCTCCACGGGCCTTTCGCTGCCTCTCTGCCGGAGCCAGGCCACAGACACGTGGCTGTGCTGGACCGTCTCGGTGGCCACCTCGCACGTGAGCTCCAGGGGGTCCTGCTCCACCTTGTGCAGCGTCTGGGGCACGGCTGTGGTCTGCAGGGAGTCTGGGATCACTGGAACACAGAGCATCCGCAGGGCACGGTCACAATCAAGCCGCAGAAGCTGACGTTCACAGGGACAGAGAACGGAAGCTGCCCTGCTTTGGGCACATCCTGACAAAGCTGGGTTCTTTGCAAAAGACAATACCGCTGGGAAAGCCCTAGCCGGTTTGGCTCAGTGGACAGAACGTCAGCCTTCGGACTGAAGGGTCCTGGCTTCAATTTCGGTCAAGGACACATGCCCAGGTTTCAGGCTACATCCCCAGGTGGGGACATGTAGGAGGCAGCCAATCAATGATTCTCTCTCATCACTGATGCTTCTCGCTCTCCCTCTCCCTTCCTCTCTGAAACCAATAAAAATATATTTTAATACTAATAGTGATGATGATAATAATAATAAATAATGCTGGGAAAATGGAAGTCAGCAGAAAAAGAGGAAGACTGAAGCCACGGGCATGAGTCCACAGGAGCTGAAGCAGGGCTGCTGAGGACAGGACAGTGTGGACACCACTCAGTCACAGGGTCCCCAGGGGTCGGAGCAGACTCAGCGACAGGTAACAGCAAAGCTCCCGCCCCAGGCCGCCTCCACCCACCGCTGCGAGGCCACGGGTGACCCAGACGCACAGACACGGGAGTTTTCTGTTTGGATCTGGACTGCGAGTTTTGGGCAATTGCTCTTACCTGCTTGGTGATTTTCATAACACTCAGACAAAAGGCGGGTTGTGTTTGATTTTAAACGAACCCCCAGAAAATACTGTGTACAAAGCATGTTCTTTTAGGGGAAATTAGATTTTATTGTTCATTCTGGTATTGCTTCAAGATACGTAAAATTGGCTTCTGACTGATGTTCAAACGGAAATTGTTCCTGGAACTCGGGGAGTTTTTATCTCTATACAACTTCCTCAGTTCCTCCCTTCCAACCACCGCCCCACATCCCCCCAGCTGGCCTCAACAAGGCATTGCTCTAGGAAGGCTATTATTTAAAAAAAAATATTTATTTTTGGTAGAAAAAAAGCAGCAGCATCCTTGATTTTAACAGGTTCAATTTTCATGTAATTGAGGTGCCAAGTGGTCCACACTGGCAGGCAGCCACCATGGGGGGGGGGGGGGGGTGACTCGGGCCCGTGAAGTGGCCCTGTGGTCCCTTGGTCAGAATTCTTCCCTGGGGACTAAACACCCCACCTCTGACTGATGAGAACACCCAGTGTGTGTGACTGCTCAGGGTTGGGGTCCAGGCCTCCTGCTGGGGTGCAGACTTTCCAGGAAGGAAAAGTCGCTGAAGGAAGCTGGAGGTGGAGGGAGCGGGTGGATGGCAGTGTGTGCAATAGGACGGATCAATAATTCCAGTTGTTATTGTCACAAGCAAGCCTGGGAATTATGACTTGGCGTGGGGAGGCAAGAGCTGGCTCACGTAGGCCCTTGCAGAACCCAGTGAAGAGCAGAATTTATTCTAAATGTGGCTGACGCCACTGGAGAATTTTAAGCATGGCAGGGACATGATTTGATTAATGTCTTAAAAAATCATTCCATTAACTGTTCAGAGAAGAGACTATGAAGGCAACAGAAAAAAGGAAAGAAATGATGACTTGGGCAGAAAAACAGAACAGTCTCGATAGTGCTAACCCCCTGCATCGCCGAGGGCTTACCCGCCAGCGGTGCCCATGCCCCACTCATGGGGCCAGGACCCCAGATGCCTGGGACAAAGCAAGACCTGCAGCTGCACTCACTTCCTGACCCCGCGGCACCCGCATCCCAGAGCCCAACTCCGAGGTTTCACTTCCCGCTGACATCACAGGCTTCATCGCCCTCATCATGTCTTTGGGTCATGGACCACAGACATCCTTGCCTCATGTTTCCATATCCCCTTTCACCAGCTAGAGGGCTAGCCAACCTTCTCAGAAATACTTAACATCTGCTTCGGATCTTTGTTAAGTTTCAGCCTTACCAAGGAACACAAGCTTTATTGTTTACATGACTGGTTGACCTCTAAAATACCTGGGAGGTGTATTTTTCTTAAGTCAAATAAAGCTGGACTCTGAATTAACTCTTTCCTCCTGTTCCTCTCTCTAAGCATGTCCTCAGTGAGGGTTTTTAAAAAGGAAGGAAGGAAGGAAGGAAGGAAGGAAGGAAGGAAGGAAGGAAGGAAGGAAGGAAGGAAGGACCATCAGTCCAAGAGGAGTGAGTCAATGTGATGGACTTAATGCTTGTGTGTGTCCTCCCAGAATTCACATGCTGAAACCTAACCCCCACGTGATGGTATTTGGAGAGGAGGCCTGTGGGAGGAGATCAGGACACAAGGGTGGAGCCCCCGTGAATAGGATTAGTGCCCTTAAAAAGGGACCTCAGCGGGCTCCCTTGCTCCCTTCCCAGGATGTGAGACACAATGAGAAGTCAGCAGTCCGCAACCTGGAAGAGGGCTCCCACCGGAACCCATGAGGCTGGCAACTGTGAGAAATACATGCTTGCTGTTTAAGCCGCTCAGTCTACAATGCTTTGTTACAGCAGCCAGAACGGACCATGACACGCAGGCGGGCAGAACACTGGCCACACCCCAACAGCTCTCTCCTTACCCACGAGGTTCATCTTGGCGCTGTAGCTCCCGAAGTACCGCTCATCGGTGTTGGGCGTGAAGCATTCGTACTCGCCGGCATCCCGGGCCTGGAGGTCGGTGATGTGCAGCAGGGCCGAGTTCCCCTGGATCCTCTCCACGTAGATCTTCCCACTGCGCACGCGCTGGGTGTAGATGGCGTAAGGGAAGGAGGGGTCCACGGTGCTGACGATCTGGACCTCGCGCTCCGGGGCCGAGGGCAGGTAGATGGACCACTGGAAATTCTGCTCCGAAGCCCCCTGGTAGCCGCTCACGTTGCACCAGATGGTGATGTGGGAGCCCTCCGTGCGGTACAGGGGACCTTCCTGCACCGCGACCTGCCGCTGTGCTGTCACAACACCTACGGGGGACACACACACAAAAGAGGCTCACTTACTTACGTCTCCCACCAAAATGCGAAGGAGGCAGCAATCCTCAGAGGGTTTGTGTGGCAGGACAGTACCATCAGCAGCTTCCTGGCGCTTTCGGAATGTATGTATGTATGATGTAGGATGTATGATTAAACCCTCCACAGGAAAGCACTGTCCCTGACTGGCATGTGCGGGCATCGGACCGCACGAGGACGTGGTGCTGTTACTGATTCAGCAGCTGACTCTTGGGGAGGTCATGCAGTCCCTCTGCTTGTCATTTACGTGGCATTTTAGAACTATTTACACTAAGGCTGCTTATAAGGTTTTTGACAAGATGCGCAGGAAAAGTTGAATCCTTGGCACAAATTCGGGTGGAAAGGAGTAGAAGCAACTCAGCGATCTGGCTGAAATGAAATGCCTCTTTCTCGATTAGAGGGCTGGCGAGGGGGGTGGACACTTCATTCTTTGGGGCTGCACCCTTTATTCTCAAAAGTCGCTCCTCCAGGACACCCCGTGGAGGAGCCCGCAATCCTTCCTCCCTCTGCCCGCCGGGAATGGGGATGTGGCAGCTCCGAGCCGAACGCACGTGAACTTGAATGATGCCCACACGCTGACCAGAGGGAGCTGAGCGCAGACCGGTGACACGAGAGTGAGGCTGCCCTTAGGTCACAGCTCTGATTCGCCCACCAGCCCCCGTCTTCTAGCCGGGAAATGCTTCCCCCCAGTGGCCCCTGCCTGCCTTTCCCTGTTCTCATCATGGCCTCCCTTGCACCCTCGGGCACGGGGTGATACGGTGGGTTTAACGTCTCATTCCCAGCCAGCACGATACTGGTTCTGCCCGCTCGCTGAGGAAGTGGGGGTGGGCAGAGAGAGCAGCGAGGTGTAGGCGCAGCTTTGCCAGGAACTGGAAGGAATGGGCTGTGTCCCCTGGACAAGCCGCTGCACCCTCGGGCCTTGGTCTCCTCATCGATGACATGGTTTCTGAGAAGGCTTTGGAGCAGACCAGCATGTGAGCTAAAGGCTGACTTTGTCACTTCCTAGCTGTGCCCCTGGGCGCATTACTTCACCTCTTGAAGCCTCAGTTTCCTCATCTGTGAGATGGGATGATAATGTGTGCCTCCCAGGGCCTAGCCCAGGATCAGGCCCCTCTGGCTGGAACATTCTGTGCCTCAGGATCCAGAGGACAGGCCAGCGATAACTCAAGGACATTCCAGTGGCCTCTTGATAGTAACACCATCCCTGGGCCAGCTGCCTCCACTCACGGCTGCAGCCCACCCTCTCCCAAACCGAACCACAGCTGCCCAGTGTAAACCTGTCTGCGGTGGATCCAGCTGGCGAGCAGCTGCCACAGCTCACGTCCTCGTGGGCTCAGCTCTAAGCCCCGCCCAGGGGCGTCTGTGCTCCAGCCCGCGGTCCAACATGCAAAACGACCGACTTTCAAACAGACCTTACAAGGGAAGGCTTGTGGCTCGTAAACTCTTACTTGAAAAAAAAAAAAAATCCCCTCTCCCAAACAAAACCTCCCACAGAACCGTGTCTGGGCTTCAGCAGAAGCAGGGAAACTAAAAAAGTGTGTGTGTGTGTGTGTGTGTGTGTGTGTGTGTGTGTGTGTGAGAGAGAGAGAGGGGGGGGGGTACAAATCAACAGATCAAAGTGGCATGTGAATTCACTCCATGCATCCTGGTTGACAGCATTCCTTTCTACACCGAGAGCCACGGAGAGGACAGTTATTTACAACATGTTACAGTTTGCTGCATCACATTTTGACCATGAACTCTTCATGACGCTTGGAAACATTTATCCAATGACATGTGAACAAATGTTTGCAGCGCTCCAGAACCGCAGAGACTTTAAAAACAATGCGAGCACATTTATACCACTTAGGGCTCCTTGCGCCTCAATGCTCTGTGACTGGGCAGCTGTGACCATTCCCCACCCGGTCACTCCCCACCCGTCACCCCCACCCACTGGAGGCTGCCAGGACCAGCCAGCATCTTGCTGGAAGGGACTACCTCTCACCCAATGGGCGCTCCTGGACTCCCCTGGGGAGCTTGAACAAAGAACCCTGCCTGGACCCCGGCCCTTGTCACTGGTCTGGGGTGCAGCCTGGGCGTTAGGATTTTTTTTTAAATTTAACACACAGCAGGGTGAAGACCGCTGCTTTATGGTGTCTCTGCTTGCCCAGTGCCAGCCAGGTGCCCAAGAAAAGAACCTCTGCTAATCCGAGGCTCTCGATAGCTTTCAAAACCTTCTCAAAACCACTTGTCTGAGACGGAAGCAGGTTATAGCAATTAAAAGACAGATTGTCAGCCTGGCCAGCATGGCCCAGTGGCTGAGAATTGACCTATAACCCAGGAGGTCATAGTTCAATCCCAGTCAGGGTACATGCCCGGGTTGTGGCCTCGATCCCTAGTGTGGAGCATGCAGGAGGCAACCAATCAATGATTCTCTCTCATCATTGATGTTTCTGTCTCTCTTTCTGTTGGTTTGGATGAAGAGCGGGCTTTCCTCTGTAGGGAGAGGGCAGAAGCAAGCAGCACCCGCCATCAGATACACCGCCTGGGATGCAATACGGAGCTCACCCAGAGTGGATTCTATTGACAAAAGCACTCAGCCCTCGGATGCTGCTCACTGCTCTCCCGAAAGTTAAACAGTGTTAAGTGGCCTGAATGAGCCCGGGGCATCAGGGTCAACACCACTTGTCCAAGCCGGAAGCAGGTTATAGACGCCCTGACAAATAAATAAATGCTGGACTGGACTTTAACCAAACACGTTCAGCTGCACCCGCTCAGGAAATATCTCCCCAAGTCGCTGAAAATAATGCTGTTCTTAGGAAGTGGACCTTAACATAGAAATAAAAATTAACCTTTTCTTCTCAGCAGCTTATTACCCACTCACCCCCTTCCACACCCTGCCCTGCTCATTTCCTTCTCCTACACACAGACCTGGTCCCCAGCCCTGACCAAGGCCTCCCCTGGCCCAGCCCCTCCCCCATCTTCCCTCTCAACCTAGGACAGAAGGCTCCTCTGAGCAGGATTCACCTTTTCCTTTTAGATACCATTTTTACTTTTGACATTCCTGCACTCTTTGAATTACTTAGCAGTACCCAAATATCACTTCTGTAATTCAAAAAGAAAAGATCAAAGTGTTATATATAACTGTATAAAAAGAGCTAGACACAAAAGGCAGAAGAGAAGTGGAAGAGAAGAATGGGAACAAAACAAAAAGCCAGGGCAACAAATAAAAATAGTAATGGATGTGGTAGATACTAGCCCAACTATATCAATAATCACTTTGTCAATAGTCTAAATGTAGCAATGAAAAGACAGATTGTCAGCCTGGCCAGCGTGGCTCAGTGAGCATGGACCTATAAACCAGGAGGTCATAGTTCAATTCCCAGTCAGGGTACATGCCCGGGTTGTGGCCTCGATCCCTAGTGTGGAGCATGCAAGAGGCAACCGATCAATGGTTCTCTCTCATCATTGATGTTTCTATCTCTCTCTCCCTCTCCCTTCCTCTTTGAAATAAATTTAAAAATACATGTTTTTAAAAAACTAATAGAAAAATATCCTTGAGTGAGGATTTAAAAAAAAAAAGGGGGGGGGGGGGGAGTCCTTAACAAACACCTCACCAGAGAAGATAAACACATGGCGAGTGAACCCATGACAAGAGACTCTACATCAGATGGCATCAGGGAAATTCAAACTAGAACAACGATGGGATACCCCTGCACACCTATTAGAATGGCCAAAAGGCAGAGCACTGGCACCACCAAATGCTGGTGAGGATGTGGAGCAGGAGGGACTCTCATGCGTTGCTGCTGGGGATGAAAATGGTACAGACACTTCGGGAGAGAGTTTCACAGTGTCTTCCAAGATTAAATACATCCTCCCACCCAATCCAGCAATAGCGATCGTTGGTATTTACCCAAAGGAATGGATATCTCCTGTCTACACAAACCTGCACATGGATATTAACAGCAGCTCTGTTCATATTTGCCAAAACGTGGAAGAATCAAGATGTCCTTCGGTGGGTGAATAGATACATAAACTGTGGCACATCCAGAAAACGCAGTCATTCTTCAACGCTAAAAAGAAAGGAGCTACCAAACCATGAGAGCACATGGAGGAAACTCAAATGTATGTTTCTGAGAGAAAGAAGCCCCTCAGGAAAGGCTACCCTGCATGCGTCCACGTCGATGACATTCTGGAAAAGGCAAAACTATGGAGACAGTAAAAAGATCAGTGTTTGCAGCAGCCAAGGAGATGAACAGGAAAAGCACAGAGGATTTTCAGGATAGGAAAAATACTCTTGATGGTATCATAATGATGGATACATGTCATTATACATTTGTCCAAACCCATAGAAGGTACAATATCAAGAGTGAACCCTAAGGTACACTATGAACTCTGGGTGATTATAATGGTGTCAGTGTCAGTTCGTCGTTTGTAAGAAAGAAAATGCCACTCTGGTGAGCGATGCTGATGATGTGTGGGGGCAGGCGGGTGTGTGGAAAATCTCTGTATCTTCCTCACCCTTTAGCAGAGCCCTGTTCCTCCCACTGAGACTTTTTAAAGAGAAGTTTTAGGTTTACAATAAAATTGAGAAGGCTTTACTGTTCTTTCAAGCCTTAAGTTTGAGGAAATTTGTTTTGTACTGATATAGGACTAATATAGATTCCTGTGGGTCCCAAGATTAAATTCAAAATTGTGTCACGTGTACAAGTGTGTGCTTTTCTAGATTTCCAAAGGTTATCAAAGAGATTCAAGACCAAGAAAAAAAGATTAATCATTTGCTTTAGACAATAAATGGTCAATGGGAAAGACCTTGTTCTTATAGTTTTTGTATTTTTTAAATCCTCACTTGAGAATTTGTTTATTGATTTTAGAGAGAGGAAGGGGGGGGGCGCATTAACATGAGAAAGAAACATCCATCGGTTGCCTCCAGTATACATCCCAATAGGGGATCGAACCACAACTTAGTATGTGTC